AAAAAAAAAAAAGAAGAGAGAGAAAGAAGTCTGCCTTTGAGTTCAGCATGGTATAGGACTGGAGACCATTTTAACATTTGTAGCATCTTCTAAATTCTTTCAAATTCAATACTATAACTTTTTTCTTCCCCCAAAAGATAAAGTCAATGGTAAGGAAGGACAATGTATTTCATTACTTCTGTATCTCCAAGTTTCTAGAATAGTGTTGAAAACCATTCAGTGTTTTTTAGCACAATAATATATTTCATATATTAGAACGGTAATCACTACAAAACTACGGTGCAAACATTTAGCCAGTTCAATATATCGAGGCCAGACAGCAAGGAATACCAGGCTAAAGAGAAAAATGGAGTCAGATAAAGGAACATCCAAGACCTCATTTAGACCATGCTCTGTGCAGTGAGGAGAGACTGAACTCAGGAGTCAGAAGACCTGAGGCTAAGTCACGGCTCTATTAGTAGATAGATGACTGCATACCTGACATAAACTTTCTTTCTAAAACTAAAAAAAAAAAAACTAATATATAATTTGTAAAGTCAACATTCCAAAATACTTCAGGAAATTCAGTTGTGAATATTCAAAATAATCAGAACAAAATACTGGAAATAAATGGCTATGTGGAAAACATTAAAATATAAAACAAGCATATAAAATGGTATGTTTTACTAGTACCCAGCAGTATTGTGTAGATGAATAAGTTAATAAAATGCAAGTGACAGTGGAAGAGGATTTTCTGAAGAGAGAATGAAAACGTCCAAACTTCAGTAAGCCAAGTCTCCAAGGGCAGACCCCCATGGCTAAGGACACAGTCATGATCTCAAGAGGAAGAGAGTTTATTTTTCAAATAAGTACCCCTGTCTAATCTACATATGATGGAAATAAGTCTGGTGCTTTAGCAGATAAAAAGAGTCAAAAACAGCACATATAATAAAAACGTTAAGTTTTATGAAAAATTTAATTTGGGGAAACAGAAAAAATATTTGTGTTGTGCTGTCATCCAACTATGGACAAGTTATTCTCTACACATGGAAAATTTCATTTGGCTGCACTCTCCAAATAAAAGTAGAAGACTAAGTCCCTGTAATACTTGTACAGAAGCTCAAGATCTCTTGTTTTTAAACCTGCACCTATCATAAAACAAAGTCTTTATACCCTCACACAGATACAATAAACACGACTGATTTCAAAGTATTTCCAAATTATTTAATTATTCTAACAGCAAACAAAGAATCACATGGAAGCAAAGAGGAATACTGTCATAAACAATGCATTAAAGTAAGATAAAACAGTATATTTCGCACTCTTTAATCATTATGCCACACAGAAAAAGAGGTAGAAAAAATGCCATATGGTGCTGCCAGCCACTATATAACTCATAATTAAAATAAATTTTAGAACAGACATTATATAAAGACGAAGTTATGCATTATTAATACTTTCTTAGGATTTACTTAACTCCATCAAGATGGTATTCACACTTACTGGAAATGTTAATACATTCTACCCAAGTCACTTAGTAACTTAACACATCTCAGTACAAAGTCCAAAAATATTTAAAGGAAAGTCTAGCATTCAATAAATAAAACTTATAATGTCTGCCAACCTATCAAAAGTTACAAGGAAAAGGAAACTATGACCCTAATGAGGAAAAAAAAAAAATCAATAATCAGACCAGAAATACTCAAGCAGAACTTGCAAAGATGAAAACTGTATCTGAAATGAAAAATATTCTGGATGGGATTTAAAAGCAAATGAGACACGGCAGAAGAAAAGATCCAAGAACTTGAAGACAAAGCAACAGAAACTATCCAATATGAATTAGGAAAAGATTAAGGAAAAAAAAGAAAAAGAACAGAGCATCAGTTATCTGTGGGACAATATCAAGCAGTATAACACATGTGCTATTAGAATCCAAAATGAAAAAAGGGAGGCACAGAAAAAATCTTTTAAGAATTAAGGGCTGAAAATTTTCCAAATTTGAAGAAAACTGCAAGTCCACAGATCCAAGTAGCTCCACAAACTCCTAACAGAACTTTAAGAAAACTATCAGTTTTGATTATGCTTATCATAATCAAATTGCTGAAAATCAACAATGAAGAGAAAAATTGTAAAAGGAGCCAGAGAAAAACAACTCAGTTTGGGGAGTCTTAACCTAGAAGCAATATATAATAGGGAGTGGGAAGGGAAATCAAGCAAAACTTTCTCTTTTTTTCTGTTAAAAAATTTTTATACACAAAATCTAGGAATATAAACACTAGTGGTGTGTTCAAAAGTACTTGCATCATTTCAGTTAACTAAAACCATCCAAAACCTCATTTTGTATTAGCTCATGTGAGATGAGCTAATGTGGTAGGTTGACTGGTTCAGAATGTTTC